TTCTGCTCTCTGATCGGTTGGTAAAGAACTATCTTTAGTAGAGTTTGTGGTTGATTTGTGTGTTGTGGACCAACTTCTTAGGGAACTTCTGCAGAGACAATTTTATGCTGGTAAAGTAAGAACATAGTGGAAATAGTATTGTTTTTTGGAGCTGATCAACACAAATACAAACACAAACGAAAGCTTAAACACGAATATGAACAAAATCCAATCGAAAACGATAACTTCAATATACATAATTTGCAGAGAATTGCACACAAATCAACAAAATGCAATCACAAGTTCAATAAATCAACTATTTCAGCTTTTCTTTACTTTTTTCTTGAAAAAGAAAAAAAAAAATACATTCCAATGACTTCAATTGCTAGTCGAACGAACGATTAACAAGGTTTAAATACTTCTCGACAAGTTTCTCCTGCGAAAGATCAGTATAATAACCCTCCCCAACAACCAAACCTTCTTCCCCGGCAAGCCTCTCGACTTCTTTCTGAACAAAATCACCATCAACGTCACTCGTATCCAATAAATTACAAGCAATCTCAATTATACCTTTACCATGAGCAAGCGCCATTGATTGCACGGAGGGTTTTCTGACCCTTCTTGCAATCTTTCGAACTTTGGCCATGTCGGTCGTGAAAATCGGAACATTGTAATTGTCGACCCAACGAGTGGCTCCAATTACGATAACGCCCTTTTTTGGGATAGCACGAGACGGGCCCTCATCCGGGCTGAGTTGCAGTGCTTCTGAGTGTGGCCCACCAGTCCATTGGTTTCCATCTGCATTGGGCTTGAAGTAGCCCAGCTCCCTTCTGATGGAGTCGAGTGACCGTGCTTCACGGTGTGCGGCTCCGTACAGGAACGTAGCCACTGCAGGCTATGTGAGACAATATTTAGCAGGTGAATGAAATAGACAAACAACAAAAGAACTTTTTTAGTTTAACTCTAAAGGAAAATTTGAAAATGGATACGAAGATGTTCCAATCTTTGCATGAACCCAATTCCTTAAAAGACAAATCTTTTTAACCACTTTCACCCGTTTATGACAGGTTTACTCAAAACGGGTGAATCTACAACATTTCTTGCAAGTTTAAACATCTGAATCTATTTTTTTTACTTCATCTGGTGTAAATGATGTTTCTTGATAGCTCAATACTGATCAATCTCTCTAAGATAAAATTTCAAAGCAAGCTTAAATCTGCTTTTCAATGGTGTAGAAATTTGTCAAAGACTCCTCGAAAATACAAACTTCAGCTACCTTCTTAGGAGTTGTGGTCGAGCAGGAAAAAAAACATAATCAACTCATGAATAACCACAAAAACTCTTTATCTTATAACAAATAAACGACTCTTCATTTCTGTCCCCTACATAAATTAATTCCGACTCATTGTCACTAGCTGCTCTGTTTTCAAGCTTCATCAGCAGCTTTATACACAGATAAGCTACCTTCTTATGAATTGGAGTCTAGCAGGAAAAATCATAACCAATCCATGAACAACCACTCAAATTCCCCATCTTAACTAACAAACAACTCTTCATTTCAATCACCTTCACAACAAATTTTGACTCATTATCTCAATTCCCCCCTTTTCAAGCTTCAGCAGAAAGAAAATAATAATAATAATAATAATAACTTCACCGGACAATCTCAAACCCACACAGATTACTTCACCCCCTTTCACATACATCAAGAACAACAACATCCATGCCCAATTATCCTAAATTAAAAGAAAATAATAAACAATCAAAGTCCTTCCAATTTCAAGAAAAAACAAACCATGGAGCCGAGAGCCCACATCAGCACCCAGCGATTTCGCCGCGCCGGCGACTCTCTCCAACGAGCCCCCGCCCAACGGGAAGAAGCACACATGGTCGACCACGCCGAGCCGCGGGTGGGACCCGCAGTGCCTCTCGAGGTCGATGGCCTCCAAAGCGGCTCGCACCATCTCGAAAGCCGCGCCCTTCAGCGGAGCTGGATCCGAGACCAGCGTGTACCCGACCCGGTTGTAGATGGCGTCCTCGAACTTGTTGACGATTGGGGCGTCGGAGAAAAGCTTGGCGGCTCGCTCGATGGAGTCCAGCGCGGCTTTGTTCCGGCTTTCGGAGATGTAAATCTTGCAGCAGCCTAGCATCTGCTTCATCATTTTTTTCTCTCTTGTTAATCAATTCCTGAGGGATAAACAGATAAATGGGCAAATTTGGGACCTTACAGTTACACATTACCCGGCATTTGGAGCTTGTGTTTGTTTAGGTTGGAATGTGTTTGTGTTCGTTTGTTTATTTTTCGAGCAAAAAAATCGAGTTCGAGCTTGTTCATTTTATTGTTCATTAAAGTTCGACGAGTTCATTTGTGTTTGCATAATTTAAGGCACACACTTTTTAAAATATGTTTGATGAATTCGAAATGTATTTTTTCAAACTCATTCGAACTCGAATATAAGATAAAAATTATACTTTTATATTTTAGAGTTTTTATTAAAAATATCATATAAATATATATAAAAAAATAAAATAAAGTTATGTTAAATTAATATTCGTGAACATTATTGAACATTGAGCTCGTGTTCGTTAGATTATTAAACGAACTTAACTTTATGTTCGAACAAGGTTTAAACAAACGAACAAGCTTTTGTTCGCAAGCGTTCCCTACGTCCGTTAATAGCTTACACATTTTGTATCTTTGAAAACAGCATATTTTGTATTTGGTTGACTAACGATTGCCTGAAAGTATGTCATTTCAACATGAAATTACAGTATCTAGAAAAAAAACACCGAAAGTTTTACAATTAGACTTGTCTAATTGCAACAATACTGTAACAAAATAGTTTCTCGCTGCTAATTGTTTCCAAAAGAGAGAATGCATTTCGCAGTTCATGTTGCACAGTTTAAATTCACCACCCAATAATGCTATGCAAACATAACAAATGTGTTGTAATAAGGCAGTTTAAGTTGTACATTAACCGTGTACTAACTTAATATCAACAAAACAGTTGTAACTTATAAGATGATTCCAAAAAATCACTGGTTTTTTTTTTCATCATTAAGAAAAAATGTGAAATGCAAACTAGTGACTGCATTAAATCAAACAAGAGAACATCCAAGAACGAGAAGAAGATTATGTAGGTTTCTCCACCTCAACAATCATAAAAAACAGACTGAAGAAATTGTAAACTGAAATCAGGTGAAACTGGAAATTAAATTCCTCCACACAATACGAGGAGTTGTGAGTTGAAGCACATATTATTCGACAAAGATCACTGCATGGGCCCTTGAGTCCTTATTGAGCCGCTTCCACTAATTTCTGCAGAGGTTAAGATTTCAAAAATATCAGTAGTAGACTAATATGGGACTGCACGAGTTTTATTTCAACGATTATATGCCACAACAGTTGTGGATATTTAACCAATTGCAGATTGTGGAAATTTTTTCCGGATCCATTTCATATTCATTGAGAGATTGAGAGATGAAAGATAACATGTGTGTCACTAGAGTGCTGTAATCGAACTGAACGAGCCGAGCTTGGCCATTTCGAGCTCGTCTTCGATTTCGTTCGAACACTGTTCTAAATCGTTCGTCTATTTTTCGAGCAAAAAATCATGTTCGAACTCGTTTGTCAAAATTCAAGTTCATTCATGTTCGAATAATTTAGGACGCAAACTTTTTAAATATGTTTGATTAACTCGAAATATGTTCGTTCGAACTCGGAAATAAAAGAAACAAAACAAAATATTTATATATTTTAGAATTTTTATAAAAAAATCATGTATCTGTACAAAAAAAAAAAATTAAATTAATGTTTGCGAACATTATCGAATGTTTGCGAACGAGCTCGTGTTCGTTCGATTATTAAACGAGCTTAATTTTCTATTCGAACTCAGCTCGATTAACAAACGAACGAGCTCTTGTCGAACACGAACGAGCTCGAAAGAGCTTTTGTTGGCGACGTTTGGTTCGTTAACAATCTAATGTGTTTGTGTGTGTGAGGACACCAATGAATGAAATGAGTACCTCTCCCTTCTCCTTTTTGCCTCCTGTGAAGAATTTGTAGCTTCCAAAGATCAGCAGACCCCATCCAGATAGAGAGACAAGCACAAACTATAAAAGAGAAAACGTACAATTATTAACAAAAATAAACAGACAAAGCAGGAAACAACAATAAGTTGCAACATTTTTAGCGGTGGATTATAACGCTTTATCATCGTGAAGATGGAAATAAATCGAAAACTAGAAGTATATTGAGTTCAACAAGAAAGTACCTACGCTTCAGTCAATGAAAGGCCGAAGAAACTAAATGTGAAACTTGGGAGATGCTGTAAGTATCAAATTCCCCTTTCATTTAAGAATCACAAGACAAGCCGAAACCTATTACAACCTATGTACTCTTTTTTTGTCCTTGTTGCAGTATATTACACAATCTTTTCATAACTACTACTTCTCATTTTCATAAAGAACCATATGAAGATATATAGTTTCTAGTCTCATAAGAAACTATACAACCATGAAAGGGATAAAGGACGTGCAAGAAGAATATAAGGGAAGAGAGGATAATTTTGCTGAGATATGACATATTTTGGCATTCAGTTTTTGCATGCATATATTGCATAACAAAAATTCCATGGAGCCATCGGATGGTTTTCTTATGGAGTCATCCATCACTTAAATTCTATGGAGCATTCAGTGTGGATGGCTCCATAGATTCATTGACACTGGAATATCTATATCTCACCGATTGACATCACCCACCATTAGAACAGCTTAAATGGGAAAACTGAACAAATTATAAAAATAAACCAAGTAGCCCATAATGACATTCCAAGTCATACAATAATCAGAACCATTTTCAGCTTGCACAGTCACATAATTTCAATAAATTAGATGAACGTATTCGGATATGGGCAGCATGCTCGTGCAGCTCCTCTGCTAATATAACATTCAAGCAGCCTAGCCTTGAGAACTTAACACATTTACTTTCAGTTTTTACAGTTTGGACCATCAGAAATATTCAGATTTAAAATAATTATTACTAAGGTTCATCATTCATTCTACTGTAATCAGAGTTTTCCCCACACACATTCCATTTGCTTCCTTATATACATGCTGCTCTGTATCATATTCCACTATTTACATTCCTAATACCGATAACTTGAAGATTAAAACCGAACCAGAGTACCTGCACCAAAGTATATCTGGTACGCCTTTTTAATCTCAATATGAAGCTCAATATGACAAACCAACTTTAGAAGGTCCAAAACTGAGTCAGAGTACCTCTTCTATCTAATTCACAATGTTGATTTAGATTTCAGGTAAGCCAATTCTTCTGCCATTCCTCAAGAAATACATCCACATTTCAGTCAAAGTGATTCAAAATTATCACTCTAAATCTCCAAATATGTGTTCAATTAGGCAAAAGAACATTAAACGCAATCTTCGAATTAAAACTCACTTTGGAAATAAATTGCAACTTCGCAAGCCCTAGCCTTTAGAAAATCTTAACAGCTAATGAAAGGAAATACACAACATCTTCGACATAAAACAACTGAAATATGAATTTTTGTATACACAGACACTCACATGCTCTTCCTTCCACTTCGATGGACTCAATGGATCTTGCCAGACATTAACCTTTGGTGGCCCATGGTGATCTAAAGGAAAGCAGAAGAAGGAAAGAAAACCATTATAAATCGACAAAAACTGAAATAACCACTTAAATCTAGATCCAATTATAAATCAATCATCGTTAATGTTGGATTCGAATCATACCGGCGGCGCCGGCGAGGCCGCGGCGAGGAATGAGGGAAGACGCTCGAGATGCAGATGAGCTGGAAGGCGTGAGCCGAGCGAGATTTGCTGCCCTGCGAGCCGCCATGGCGGTCAGTGAAGTAGCCATTGCTCGTCGTCTCCGGCGTTGTGTTCTGGAGATTTCGAAGGTTACAAACGAGTGAGAAAATGATAATTGGGTATTGAGACTTGGAGCTGGATAGGAAATGTTAGAAAGGCCAAGCTATACGACGTCGTATCGATGACACACTATCCAAATTCCTAGTGTCGTGTTTGGACAAATTGTTAGCCACTAATCTCGAATTTAACTCATTTATTAATATTAATGAGTCTAACTTGATTTTTAACGAGTTGAACTATAAAAAATTATATGAAATTATTCTTTTCGTGTTTAACGAATCAAATCGACTTATTAACTAAAATGAAATTTCAACGAGTTCGATAAATAAGTTGAGCAAAACTCAAGTCTTAATGAATTGGGCTTCCGAGCAACTTCGATTTGTTTAATAGTTCTAATCACACATCTATTATGATATTAGATAGTACACCTTTAATTGTTATATCAAATAAATTACATACGTACATACACGTGAATATTAGATCGTTGTTGGATCACACTCATTCATATACACTCATAGATGTGTGTTGAGATGTTGGATCAACCATATTAATTTTTTTGTATTTTTGAGTTCAAATGCAATCAAACTTATCTCAAGTCAATCGTCAATCAAACAATTTCAATACACTCATTCCCTAATGTATTCAAATACAAACGGATTCAAAACAGTTTT